ATTTAGGTGAGAATTGACATTATCCTTCAAAACAATACAGAAAAGTGCCCTTTTTTTAATGTTGTGCCTTTTGAAAACAAGCTGCTCAAACTCTGACCCAGAAACCACAGAACAGCCTCACACGCTTTCACAGTTTTTCCTCGTTTTTTGTTGGATTTCACCTCATTTGAGACACTTGAATACCTTTTTTCACAGCTTTTCTTTGTTTTTTTTGTTGGATTTCACCTCATTTCAGACACTTGAATCCCTTTTTTCACAGCTTTTCCTTGTTTTATAGTTGGATTTCACCTCATTTCAGACACTTGAATCCCTTTTTCCACAGCTTTTCCTTGTTTTATAGTTGGATTTCACCTCATTTCAGACACTTGAATACCTTTTTTCACAGCTTTTCCTTGTTTTTTTGTTGGATTTAACCTCATTTCAGACACTTGAATCCCTTTTTTCACTTGTTTTGTTAAAACTACACAGCCAGGCCTGGGCAGAAATCTCCTTTTTGTTGCTACAGAGGTGCTGACAGTGTTTTTCCTCAGAGATAAATGTGAGTCAGCGCACTCGATTGTCTAAACTCTCGCTTTGTATGATTCTCTAATTACTTCATTTATTCTGCTGGCTGCTGCTCCATTTAAACAAATGTTAATTTATTCTTTCTCCTCACATACCAGAGAAGTTAAGGGGCCTTCATTGTTGCTCAGCTCTTTGTATCCTCCACTGATGAATCCTCGGATGTCTTCATAGTCTAACACACAGATCAAAGGAGCATAGCGTAAAAACCGACATTTTTACAGAAATATTTGAGGAATTCTGTCGTGTGCAAACAAAAGCTGCGTGGTTTTTCACCTGCTCCGAACGTGGGGACACACTCACTGGCATCAATAAGGCCCAGCACACCTGGGGAGCCCCAGCCCAGGTAGCACACACGGCCCCCCCCCAGCAAACTGGAAAACAAGCAAACGGGAGTCCCTTCAACAGGAATTTAGTCGTTCAAGTTCTGGTCATGTTGAAATAGCAACAATACAACGAGATTTTGTAGCTTATTCAATCATTTTAACCCTGTAATGCCAAATGTGTCGTATTTGATACATACGGTTTCTGAAATGTTTTGCGTCTGACTCCTTTTGCATAATTTAATGGTAAAAACTTTGCTCAAAATCCTATTGTACACAATCAGATACACCTGATAACAGGGGGCAGAAGACTACACAAAAAATAATCTTGACTTATCGCATAGTAATAAATTATTAATATCAAAAATGTATTTCTGTTTCACCAGATATGAATCATCCTGGCAGAAAAGGGCCTCTAACTCAAGGGATGAACGTCCTTAGCAAAGCAGAATTTTAAAGTGGATCTTTAGGCTCTTTTTTGGCAGCAGACACATAATTTGTTCACATTTCTTGCCAATAAAAAAACATTTTATGCCCTTCCAGAGGCCTGGAGAGCTGCTCCTGGAGGCTCCTTAGAGAAAGGACACACAGCTGGAGAGGGCTCACAGATGGAGGAGGAAGAGCTGAACATTTTGATCTTATTTACTGTATTTACATTTGGAAAAATGGAGAGAAATGCTCTACCTGTGTCCAGCGGCCTCCACCACAGCCGTCAGCTCCTCTCTCTGTGAGTATGTAAAGTCCACAGTTTCTTCATAAGCTTTAATGTGCTGCAGGATGCCACTTTAAACAGAGCAAAAGCAGGTTTTAGGATTATTCTGATGCAGTGTTTTTCAACCTTTTTTGAGCCAAGGTACATTTTTTAATTGAAAAATGTCAAACAAATCTGTAGCCGCCTATAGTAACACTATAGTTATTCTTATTTTATTCTTATCTTACCTTAAGTGTCTCGAATAGGAATCAAATAAACACAAAAATGTATTTATCATATTTTATATTTCTTCTCTCAAATTGCTCTAGTCATCTAGTCATAAGGAATTAGTACATGATTACGCCACCAGTCACTCGAACAGCACAGACACTGAAAAATGGCATATTATTTCCAGATTATTAATTCCTTATCAAACAATCTGTTTAGACCAATTAGGTGAAATAGGATGATTTTCTACGGCACACCTGACCATCACTCGCGGCACACTAGTGTGCCGAGGCACAGTGGTTGAAAAACACTGCTCTGATGTGTTTATTCTTAATGTTCATGCGTCCTCCAGGGGTCAGCAGCACATTAGAAAGCTGCCAAAGTGCCTCGTGACCACTCCCAAAAACAGAGAGCAGCTTTGCCTCGTGGGCCACAAATGACACTAACAGGCAAGAGAACAGCCCCAAAAGACCATCGGCGCTCTGTAAAACCTGCCCGGGACTTTAAGCTGATGCTAAACGGAGCTGGCTGCAGACTGCAGGACACAAAGAAAGACTTGGAAAATAGCGATTCGGCCAGAAACGGCTATGAGGTTAAGCTAGGTCAAGCTAGGTCAAGCTGAGTAACACAGAAGCTCAAACTGTCACTATGGGCATCATACAGATACAAATGTGTGCTCTGTTTTCACCGTTCAAAACACAAAATACAACAGAGAAATCATCTATGACTGAGATCTATCAAAGAGAATCACGGTGGAAAATTACCAACAAAACCAGATAAGGCAAAAAAATGACTCATCTGTGTAAAACCAAGACTATAAACCAAGAAAATGGCTGAATATCGAGAATATTTCCCTATAAATTAGGGAAGAGGATGAAGGAAGAAGAGGCTGATCTGACAAAGACTGAATTAAATTGACTTAAAGGAAAAAGACAAAATAACACAAGATAAAAGAGGGATAAGAACAACAAAGGAGGCCAAAAGTGAGCAAAAAAATGGGTCTAAAGTACCTAAAAACAAACAAAAGGATCTTAAAATGAACTGGAAGCGGGTGAAATTCAGGCCTTTTTTTCCAGGTTTTTCCCTGATTTCGGCAAACCTCAGAAAGCAGGATTCAACCTCAGAGTCAGAGACAAACCCAGAGCAGAGAAGCAAACCCTTCTAACAAAAACAGACAAGGAAATTAATCAGATTCAACCTGGAATCACAGAAGCCTATATGTCAGAACCAGGAGGGTTCATAAGCGTTCATAAGGGTGCATAAGGGTTCATAAGCGTTCATAAGGGTTCATAAGGGTGCATAAGGGTTCATAAGCGTTCATAAGGGTTCATAAGGGTTCATAAGGGTTAATAAGGGTTAATAAGGGTTCATAAAGGTTTATAAAGGTTCATAAGGGTTCATAAGGGTTCCTAAGGGTTCATAAGGGTTCATAAGAGTTCCTAAGGATTCCTAAGGGTTCATAAGCGTTCATAAGCGTTCATAAGGGTTCATAAGGGTTCCTAAGGGTTCCTAAGGGTTCATAAGCGTTCATAAGAGTTCCTAAGGATTCCTAAGGGTTCATAAGCGTTCATAAGCGTTCATAAGGGTTCATAAGGGTTCATAAGCGTTCATAAGGGTTCCTAAGGGTTCATAAGGGTTCCTAAGGGTTCCTAAGGGTTCCTAAGGGTTCCTGCTTACTGCTTAGTGGCGGCGGTGGCGTGCGCGGCCGACAGCACGACCTCCAGCAGGATCTTGGTGGCGCTGCCTCCCTTCATCCTGGAGGAGCCGCTGACGGCCTCCGGCTGAGCACATATAGTCAAATTTTTAAAAATAACATTTATTATTATTATCATTATTATTATTATTATTATTATTATTATTATCATCATTTACACCGACTGCCGCTTTTTAAAAATAACATTTACTATTATTATTATTATTATTGTTATTATCATCATTTACACCGACTGCCGCTTTTTAAAAATAACATTTACTATTATTATTATTATTGTTATTATTATTATTTACCCTGACTGCCGCTTTTTTAAAATAACATACATTATTATTATTACTATTATTATTATTTACCCCGACTGCCGCTTTTTAAAATAACATTTATTATTATTATTATTATTATTATTATTATTATTGTTATTATTATTTACCCCGAATGCCACTTTTAAAAAATAAAATTCATTGTCATTATTATCATTATTATTATTGTTTACCCCAACTGCCGCTTTTTAAAAATAAAATGTATTATTATTATTATTATTATTATTATTATTATTATTATTAATATTATTATTATTATTTACCCCTACTGCTGCTTTTTAAAAATAAAATTAATTGTCATTATTATTATTATTATTATTATTATTATTTACCCCAACTGCCGCTTTTTAAAAATAAAATGTATTATTATTATTATTATTTACCCCAACTGCTGCTTTTTAAAAATTACATTTATAATTATTATTATTATTTACCCCGACTGCCGCTTTTATAAAATAACATAAATTATTATTATTTACCCCGACTGCCGCTTTTTAAAATAACATTTATTATTATTATTATTGTTATTATTATTATTTACCCCGACTGCCGGGTTGATGAGGAAAGCCTCCCTCCTTCGGGCTCGCTCCTGCATCCTCTGGGCCACACTGAGGAAGGTGAAGGAGCATCCGGGGATGGGCTCCGCCCTGCAGGGGGGGGGGGGGGGGGGGGGGGGGGGGGGGGGGGGGGG